TTCATACATATATATGGATAAAAACAATGTCACTGTTTTGTTTCCTTTGAGATAGGGTCTTGCTCTGAAGCCCAGGCCAGAGTGCAGCTGTGGGAGATTAGCTCAAATCAGCCTCAAATACCTGGACTCAGGTGATCCTCCCACCTCAGCCTCCCAAGTAGCTGGGACTACAGGTGCACACCCATGCCTGGCTAATTATTTTTATTTTTCAGAGGCAGGGTCATGCTATTTTGCCCAGGCTGGGTCTTGAACTCCCAGATTCAAGCAATCCTCCCATCTTGGCCTCCCAACCAGCATTTTGCCAAGTTGCTCTTTTAAAATTAGCAATTATGCCAGGTCCTGGGCTAGTATTTCATCAATGTTATTGTATTTAATCCTCACAACAATTATTCCAGATAGGTACTTGTATTCCCATTTTACTGATAAGGAACCTAAGACTTGTTCAATGTTTCACTGCTTTTAAATGGTGGCACTGGTGCTTGAACCTAGGCCTGCTTAACATCCAATTCCATCCTCCTAAACGACTGACTAGACTGCTCTTTGCATGTGTGTTACATATGTGTATGCATATGCTACATAGTAGGCATGCAATACACATTTGTTGAATGACTGTTCTGTAGTGCATGTGTTTGCTCAGAACTATCGGGGTTATTACTGTTTTTAGAAATTGATGCTAATCATGTAATCTTCTGGATGCAGAGTATAGCTAAAAAGATTCATATCATAACATCAGGTGCAGCCTAGAACAATGACTATTGAAGTGAGACTATTAAAGGTAATACGGTACTGTGTATAACAAGCACCCACTTATAACAGATATTACCGAATATAGGTTATGGCTGAACCCTAAAGCACCTGGCATAGTCTTTATAATTAGTTCCTCAACAAATATTTACAAATGTATTCTACCATATTATGTATCATGTAGGTATTAGGCCCTCGATAAATATTTCTTTAATAAATCGTTATTGCAATCCCTTTTTATCACTGTTTAGGCCATGTCTGTGAATTCTTCCAGCTGCACTCATTGAAATGAGTGTGGGTTTGACTGTATTTACTGCTCTCGTGTCAGCTCGAGTTTAACTCACACCCAACAGAGATGTTAAGGGTCAAAGGTACTGAGAGAAAGTTCTTTATCTAGCCAACATGAAAACTGGCTGAATGCTGTGGATAATAAAGTCACTGTGAATGTGTGCCTCTAGGGGAAAAAAGTCTTCTTTCCTTTGAAATGTTGGTTAGCTCTGTTTCATGCTGTAACACTTCTTATTAAAAAGTCCCTGAAGTATTTTAAAGAGCTGTGAAGCCTTCACCTCTCTAAGTGTTACTTGCATTTCTCATAGCACTTCCTGCCTCATTTAATTCTACTACTGTTAGATCACCGATCATAACTTGATGACTAAATTAACATTTTCCTCTTGAAGATGTTTTGGAAAAAAGTATATCTTGGCCTTATTATGAACTTAGAGGCTCTTGTTAATGAACAAGATGCAAATGACTCGTTTGGGAGACAGAAATCCTTTCTGGTGGCTACTGTTTACTTCAACATTCTTCTGATGTGCAGGGTGTTACAAACTGGCTTGAGAAAGTGGATACAGATTCCAAAAACAGGATCACTTAAGATTAAAAATACAGTAGGGGGTCTGTAAAGGGGGTGAATATAACCAGCTGCCTGAGATGAGCTGATTATGTGGGCCCTGAATTTGGCCTAGATTACTGGGAATCAAGGCAGAAAGAAAAATAAGGTGGGGCCGGGTGCAGTGGCTCACACCTGTAATCCCAGCCCTTTGGGAAGCCAAGGTAGCAGATCACGTGAGGTCAGGAGTTCGAGACCAGCCTGGCCAACATGGTGAAACCCTGTCTCTACTAAAAATACAAAAATTAGCCAGGTGTGGTGGCATGTGCCTGTAGTCCCAGCTACTTGGGAGGCTGAGGCAGAAGAATTGCTTGAACCTGGTAGATGGAGATTATACTGAGCCAAGATTGTGCCAGTGCACCCCAGCCTGGGCGAAAGAGTGAGACTCCATCTAAAAAAAAGAAAAATAAGATGAACATTATAGGTGTGATTCATAGCAGTGCCCCTGTATAAAAGGGGGCAAGGTCTCTCTGAAGGCCCATAATCACTGAAACCTAAACGCCTTGAGAAATCCTCTGCATTGCTCATGGCTAACATTCAGTATGCTAATAGTTGTGTTAGGCCCTTTGAATGATAAACACCACATTCTGGATGAGGATGATCTGTGGGAAGAGGCCATGAGAGAAACATGTCAATGAAGGTTCATCTCCATCTATAATATTGTCATTTTTAATAAAAGTCTTATTTGGGATAATTTTGAATTTACAGAAAAATTGCAAATGTCCAAAGAGTTCCCAGATACCCCTTTGTCCATTTCCCCAGTGTTGACATCTTACAAAACTACAGAAATGAACATAACTCAGAAATTAACACTGGTACAACTAAACATTAGATTTTATTCAGATTTCACCAGTTTTTCCACAAATGCCCTTTTTTCATTTCAGGATCCAATCCAGAACCCCACATTACATTTAGCACAGCCATATTGTTGTATATGTCACAAAAGTCTGAAGAAATGATGGCAAAATATTAAGATATGATGAAACTTTCTGGCAAGAACAGAAACTTGATTATGTTGCTTTCTGGTCATTGTTGGAAAGAACTTGTAGTGCTTATGAGGGAGGCTCTGGAGACAAAACAAGCAATCCAGCTTCAAATTCCGGCTCAAGCATTATCTAGCTGCCTGCTTAATCTCCCTAAGCCTAAATTTCCTCAACTCAAAAATAGGGATGATAATAGTATGCATCTCTTCGGCTTACTCAGAGGTTTACACAGATTAAGACGCACAAAGCAACTAGAATAGTGCTCAAGAAACGTTAGTTGTTACTGTTAATTACATATGTAATTCACAATAGAACTTTTTAAATAAAAATAGCTCTTTGAGAGTCTCTGGAGCCCATCTTAATAAGACACCACAGTCTTCATTGCATAGCTATTCCCCATTATAAAACTTGCTACAGCCAGGCACGGTGGCTCACACCTGTAATCCTAACACTTTGGGAGGCCGATGCAGGCAGATCACCTGAGGTCAAGAGTTCGAGACCAGCCTGACCAACATGGAGAAACCCCGTCTCGTATCTACTAAACATACAAAATTAGCCAGGCATGCAGTGCATGCCTGTAATCCCAGCTACTACAGAGGCTGAGGCAGGAGAACCTGGAAGGCAGAGGTTGCAGTGAGCCAAGATCGCGCCATTGCACTCCAGCTTGGGCAACAAGAGCAAAACTCTGTCTCAAAAAAAAAAAGAAAAAAAAACTTGGTACATTGTATTGTAACTATTTGTTTCTGTGTCTGTCTCCACTTTGCACGGCAAGGCACATACAGGAGGAAAGCGTGTTCAGTATGAAAGAAGAAAGGAAAACATGGAGAGTGGGTAGGTAGCTCATCTAGATGCTCTAATGGGGGGATCAGGGCTAGAGTAGGACACTGCATTTGCTGAGATTAAGGGAGCTGCATTTTTCAGCACAAAGATTTAACAGAGATGAGAAGATGAAATAACAGTGTAGAGAGCTGCAAACACTGAGCAGAGGGGCAGAGGGTGAGTGGGTCTAGATGCAAAGAAAACCCTTTCTGTCCTTAAGAGAGTGCATGGTACAGGAGCCTGGAAGAATTTTCTTCCCTGGGCTGAACTGAACATTCCACTGAACTCAACTGGGACCAATGGCTGCAGTCAGGTTTCATCCTAGATGCTGAGTACCAAGCAACCCCTCCCACACTTCACCTTTTATCATTCATTCATTCATTCATTCATTCATTTACTGAGATGGAGTCTCACTCTGTCACCCAGGCTGGAGCACAGTAGTGTGATCTTGGCTCACTGCAAGATCACTTCAAGTGATTCTCCTGCCTCAGCCTCCCGAGTAGCTGGGATTTCAGGTGCACACCACCATGCCCAGCTAATTTTTGTATCTTTAGTAGAGATGGGGTTTCACGATGCTGCCCAGGCTGGTCTCAAACTCTGGATACCAAGTGACCCACCTGCCTTGGCCTCCTAAAGTGCTGGGATCACAGGCCTGAGCCACCATGCCCGACCTTTTCTTTATTTTTTTGAGATAAGGTCTCACTCTGTTGCCCAGGTTGGAGTGCAGTGGTGTGCCATCATGTCTCACTGTAGCTTTGATCCTCCCACCTCAGCCTCCCAAGTAGCTGAAACTGCAGGCATGGGCTACCATGCCCGGCTAATTTTTGTAATTTTTTTGTAAAGACACGGTTTCACCAAGTTGCCCAGGCTGGCATCAAACTCCTGGGCTCAAGAATTCTGCCTACCTCAGCTTCCCAAAGTGCTGGGATTACAGGTGTGAGCCACTGGAGGGGACCCACCCCATCTTTCTTTAAAGATAACATAACCATTTTTGTTTTTTGTTTTTTGAGATGGAGTCTTGCTCTGTTAGACAGGCTGGAGTGCAGTGGCAAGATCTAGGCTCATTGCAACCTCCGCCTCCCAGGTTCAAGTGATTCTCCTACCTCAGCCTCTGCAGTAGTTGGGACTACAGGTAGGCACCACCACGCCCGGCTAATTTTTGTATTTTTAGTAGAGACGGGATTTCACCATGCTGACCAGGCTGGTCTCGAACTCCTGACCTCATGATCCGCCCATCTCAGCCTTCCAAAGTGCTGGGATTCCAGGTGTGAGCCAGGGTGCCTGGCCACCCCATTGTCTATTCATAAAGGTAACTGGGAGGATAGAGGTTCACAGAGGCTCTCAAAGAAGACACCGAGTAAGCCCGCCAGGGAGCATGGGGAGGGAAACCCTGGGACCTGATCAAGGCTGTGCAAGCCCGACCTGACCCATGACCTGAGGCTGACCCGCAACCTGAGGACAAGGTAAGAGAAGACGGTAGGGCCTGGCCAAGGTCTCTGGGAAAATAAATAGGCTTATCTGTTGTCCTTTGACCTGCACATACTGTTCTTTTGCTGGGAAAACAGATCCTCCATTTTTGATTCCTGAAAGGTGACCAGGTGAAAGCAGAGCCTGACTTCCTGGGGAAATGGTCTCAGCACAGTGAATGCTACATTCAGAGGTAGGAAGACTCTGGATGTGAACTACTTCGTGTTTCTTTTGTAAAATTACCAAAAAAAAAGAGCAATGTCCACAAAAGCAGAAGGAGGAATGCGGAAGGAGAGGATGAGTTTAGACTAAGCTCTTTTGTTACCTCACTTCTGCTTTTGAAGTCCCACAGCTCCGTAAGGTAAGGTTACTTGAGTTAGTGCTTAAGTCAATATTTGAGGTGATAAGTTCATGTTTTCTCTGCTAATATGCGTAATTTCTTCTGAAATTCCTGTAAAGTGTACTGGATTGTGAAATTAGTATCTTCATAGAGACAACCGAATCATGTTTCAAAGAAGGACCATTATCTCAGGGTACAATATCATGATTTGATAATAACATAAAGCTAAGCCATGCGTTCTGTCTTAAAAAAAACCTTCTCAGTTTTAATAACAATTAGGATTATCATTGTTTATGTTTCCAAGTAGAAACAAGTTTCTCATTTTATGTAGTAATGTGTGCTCCGACGAGTTGTGGACTGGGAGCCTGAATACCTGAATTTTGCCCCGGTTCTGCTGTAACCATCTGTTTGACAGTGGATCTCAATTTCCTCATCTGTGAAAGAGAAGTGACACTCCTTTATATGATTGCTAAGAGGCTGCAATCATTGATATTCATTAAGCTGGAGAGGAAAGGGGGCATATGCAAATATGAAACCCACACGATTTGTAAACATATACTACCCAGGCAATGTAATCATGAAGGCATTATGATTAATAGCATCAATTGAGAAATGTTCATATAGTATTAGCAGAAGAAATTCTCTCTGGAGATAATTAATATTGAAACTGGATGAATATTTATGGGACCTCTGCCTTGCCAATTTTGCACAATGACTTTCAGGAAAAAAGTTTAGATAGCTTTCCTTGGTAATTTGTCTCAATGTCTAAAGGGCCTAATGGTGAGCAAAACATTCGTTTCATTTAAGCCACTGCTACCTTTGCTCTGAATCTAATGGGGTGGGGCAGAAAGGGCATGGATTTAGATAAGAACCAGTCCTGGCTTGGCCACCTACTAGCTTTGTGCAAGGCAAATTACCCTTTCGATCCCAGGCCCTTTTCTATTAAATGAGGATAATAATAATGCTTAGAGCTAGTCTACAGGAAAAGTGCTTCATAAGGTGACAAAATGCTTATAATTATCACAGATTCTGCAGTATCATATTTATAAAAGACAACGTGTGACCATTCTAAGATTTTAATCAATTGATTAACTTACTACAATTAAATGCAGCTACATGGAAGGATCAATCACATAAACATAATCTTTTTGTTTGTTTGTTTTTTGAGATGGAGTTTTGCTCTTACTGTTCAGGCTGGAGTGCAATGGCGCGATCTCTGCTCACCACAACCTCTGCTTCCTGGGTTCAAGTGATTCTCCTGCCTCAGTCTCCTGAGTAGCTGGGATTACAGGCATGTGCCTCCATGCCCGGCTAATTTTGTAGTAGAGACAGGGTTTCTCCATGTTGGTCAGGCTAGTCTGAACTCCTGACCTCAGGTGATCCGCCTGCCCTGGCCTCCCAAAGTGCTGGGATTACAGGTGTGACCCACTTTGCCTGGCCTGTATTTTAACTTTAGGTTCCGGGTGCATGTGCCGATCTGCTATACAGGTAAATTGCGAGAGGGAGGTTTGGTGTACAGATGATCTCATCACTCAGGTAATAAACATCATATTGGATAGGCAGTTTTTGATCCTCATACCTCTCACATCTTCCACCCTCAAGTAGGCCTGTGTTTGTCGCTCCCTTCTTTGTGTCCATGTGCACTCAATGTACATAAACATAATCTGGAGCGAAAGAAGTAAGACACAGCAAAGTAGTTTCTATCTGATTTTTCAAAGAGAGCTTCCAGGAGTCTGGTAATGCTCTGTTTCTTGATCAATGTGTTGGTCATGAGTGTGTTCAGTTGGTGATCATCAGATTGTGGACGTAAGATCTGGGCTGTTTTGTAAGTACATATGTCATACTTCAATAAAAAGTTAACATTTTTGTATTTGAGATGATGGCTAGGTTGATACTGTGATCTGATCATTATATGTTATATATATAAACATCACCCTAGGCCGGGTGCAGTGGCTCATGCCTGGAATCCCAGCACTTTGGGAGGCTGAAGCAGGGGGGATCATGAGGTCAGGAGTTCAAGACCAACTTGACCAATATGGTGAAACCCCATGTCTACCACAAATATGAAAATTAGCTGGGTGTGGTGGTGCGCACCTGTAGTCCCAGCTACTTGGGAGGCTGAGGCAGGAGAATTGCTTGAACCCAGGAGGCAGAGGTTGCAGTGAGCCAAGATTGTGCCACTGCACTCCAGCCTGGGTGACAGAGGGAGACTCCATCTCAAAAAAACCAAGCCAAAACAAAATCACTATATACCTCACGAATATGTACAATTATTATTTATCAATTTTAAAAATGCTAACTTTTTTTACTTAGAAACATTAGACACCACATATTTTAAAAAAACAGCAACAACAAAATCTCCGGATATGCCCATATCTGGAAAGAACCACTCTTAATATTTGGCATAGATCCAGAATTTTTTCTATATGTACATTTTACAAAATGGGATCATACTGTCCGTCTTTGGGTAACCCTATCTTCTCACTGGATCCTATTTCACTCTTGCAAATACTGACAAACAAGACTTTTCCAAACATCTCTGCTCAGTAGACAGTTTATTTATTTATTTATTTTTAGGATTCCTCAAACTGGAAGCGGTGGCTCTAGGAGGATGTACATCTTCAAGTCCTTGGGTTTCCCCTGGAAAGACAGAATGAATTCACATTCCCACCTGCATTGGCTGAGAAGTCCCCTTTCCCCGACTTCCTTGACAAAAATGGATATTATCATTCCTTTTTATCTTTACCAATATGGAAGTTTTGTGTAACTGAACACGAGAATTACAGAAGAGGCCAAGCTTGGTGGCTCACGCCTGTAATCCCAACACTTTGGGAGGCTGAGGCGGGTGGATCACTTGAGGCCAGGAGTTTGAAACCACCCTGGACAACATGATGAAATCCTATTTCTATCAAAAAAATCCCCCCAACGTACACCAAATTAGCGACATGTTGATGCATTCCTGCGGTCCCCGCTAACTTGGGAGGCTTAGTGGGAGGATCACTTGAGCCCAGGAGGCTGAGGCTGCATTGAGACATGATTGCACCTCTGCACTCCAGCCTGAGCAACAGAGTGAGATCCTGTCTCAAAAAAAGGAAAAGAAAAGAGGAATTCAGGGACAGAATGGAATTGTGGCTCCATCCCAACTCAGAAGCTCACTTTCTTCAGCTATAAAATGGGGTAAAGAATAATCTTTCCCAAAGAGAAAAGTTAAACACCTTAGTCCTAGCCCTAGCCACCCCAGCAGCTCTCTTTTCTTCCCAAACTCCTTTTCAGTCTTGTCTCCTCCAGCAGCCTGGGTATTCCCGCATGAATGTAAACCACATGACATGGTTTGTATCTGTGTCCCCATCCAAATCTCATGTCAAATTGTAACCTCAGTGTTGGAGGTAGGGCCTGATGGGAGGTGACCGGATCGTGGAGGCAGAGTTCTTATGAATGGTTTAGCACAGTCTCCCCTTGGTACTGTGTAGGGAGTAAGTTCTCATGAGATCTGGTTGTGTAACAATATGGCACCTCCCCTCTCTCTCTTTTCCTTCTGCTCCAGCCTTTGTGAGGAGAAAACTTCACTGCTCCTCTTTGCCTTCTGCCATAGTTGTTAAGTTCCCTGAGGCCTCCCCAGAAGCTGATGTCGCCATGCTTCCTATACACCCTATAGAACTATGAGCCAATTAAACCTTTTTTCTTTGTAAATTACCCAGTCTCAGATATTTCCTTATAGCAGTGCAAAAACTGCCCTGATTAATAAATACATTACACCACATCCTCTCTGTCTTAAAACCCTTTCTCAGCTAGCTATAGTACTTAGAACAAAATCTAAACTAATCCTGGCTGACTTGGGTCCACCTGCTCTGCCTTTGCCCGCCCTGCTGTAGACACTGTCAGGTCTTGCTGTCCTTTCCCCACCTTTTGAAAAATTATTATTGTTATTTGCTTTTTTAGAGACAGGATCTTGCTCTATTGCCCAAGCTGGAGTGCAGTAGTGCAATCAGAGTTTACTATAGCCTCAAACTCCAGGGTCAAGCAGTCTTCCTGCCTCAGCCTCTCAAGTAAACCACTTAATTTTTTTTTTTTTTTTTTTTTGAGACAGAGTTTCATCCTTGTTCCCCAGCCTGGAGTGCAGTGGCGCAATCTCGGTTCATTGTAACCTCCACCTCTCAGGTTCAAGCTATTCTTCTGCCTCAGCCTCCTAAGTAGCTGAGATTACAGGCAGGCACCACCACACCCGGCTAATTTGTATTTTTAGTAGAGATGGGGTTTCTCCATGTAGGTCAGGCTGGTCTTGAACTCCAGACCTCAGGTGATCTGCCTGCCTTGGCCTCCCAAAGTGCTAGGATTACAGGCATGAGCCACTGAACCCAGCTGCTAATTTTTATTTTTTACTTTTTGTAGAGATAGGGTCTCATTATGTTGGCCAATCTGGTCTCAAACTCCTGACCTCAAGCAATCCTCCTGCCTCAGCTTCCCGGAGTGCTGGGATTACAGTTGTGAACCACTGTGCCCTGTCAGCCCACATTTTGAGGCTGCACTGGCCTCTGGGTTTCTTGAATGGGCAGGTCCCTCAGGCTGCTCTGCCTCCCTCTCCTTCCTGTCCTTGCCAACTTCAGCTTAAAACCACATCCTTAGGGAGACATTCCCTGTGCTCCTGCTATTTTCCCTCCCACCATCCGTTTAGTCCCTTCGCAGTTCTTATTACCATGTGTAATGATATATTACTTTGCTTACTTCTGTGTTTTTTCTCCCCACCACCTGTAAGCTCAATGACAGCAGAGATGTGACCTTCTGAGTTTGCCGCTACATCCCCCAGCACCTAGGCCTATGCCTTGTGGTACATGTTCAACAAGTATGTGTTGAATGTGTGAAAATAAATATTTCAAAATCAAAGCTGTTGGAACTTTAAAATATTATGAGCCTTGAAGGAGTGTGATTATGGGACTCAAATTACATAAACAGATGGCTGTAACCTTTGTCTCTCTGATTATAAATTAGCCTTCTTCCTTATCCACATTGTTTTGTAAAATGCTGTAAATGACTAAAGGGTGCCAGGGAAGACCCCTTCCCCTTTCACTACTGATCTTCATTATAGATTCACTTCCTTCTTTCCCTTTTGATACAAAGACTTCACAACTATCTCATTGTCTAAGATGAAATGTTCTAATCCTACTAAATTTCTTTGTTTTCTGCCTATATAAGCAAGTCGTTTTTATTTTAGACCACTGGCTTCATCTCTCTGGAGTCCATGTTTCCTGACTGGCTATTCCTGGCTTTGAGCACCAATAAACTCGATACCTAATCATATGTTCTAAATTATGTTATTTAAGGTTGATGAATAAATGACTATCTCACTTCTCCTCCAGTCTGGTGGTGGGCAAACCCGTAGCACTGGGCAGGGTGAAGTAGTTGCCAATTCTCTATAGCCCATACTTCTGGGATGTCTCTTTCTGATCTGAAATCCCCTTGGCCATTTCTCTCTCATCCTCCGTCCCCAAGTTGTGGACTGTATCACCTTCTGCAACTCTGAAGTGAAATATGTGCTTTCTTGTTCTATTCTTTTAGTGTTCAAAGGGCCTTATATTAGTTTGTAGTAATCTAGTTTCTTCCAGTGGCATACTGTCTCAAGGGAGTGGGAGGCCTTAATCAATATTCATTCATTCAGCATTTATTTATTTAGCACCTAGGAAGTACCAGTCATTATATTAAACACTCAGGATACAAAAACAAATAAGGCACAGCATTTCCTAACTCCAGGGAGCTCACAGTCTGGGGGTGGGGAGCACATAATTGTAATATTCTGTAGCAATTGCAGTAGCTTGCTATGTAAAAGAAAAAGGGGGCCAGGCACGGTGGCTCATCCTATAGTCCCAACATTTTGGAAAGCCAAGGTGGGCAGATCACTTGAGTCCAGGAGTTCGAAACCAGCTTGGCCAACATGGTGAAACCCATCTCTATTACAAATACAAAAATTAGCCAGGTGCGGTGGTGCATGGCTGTAGTCCCAGCTACTCAGGAGGCTGAGGTGGGAGAATTGCTTGAACCTGGGGGGTGGAGGTTGCCGTGAGCCAAGATCGCACCACTGTCCTCCAGCTTAGGTGATGGAGTGACTCTGTCTCAAAAAAAAAAGACAAAGGGCCACACAGGGGAAGGATACTGAACCCAGTCTGAGGGAGAGGAGGATCAGGGCAGGCTTCCTGGAGAGGTGCCAACTGATCTGAGCGAGCCAGATAAAGAGGAGAAAGGCATTACCAAAGAGGGAACAGTATCAGCCCAGGCCTGGATGCAGAGCAGTATTCTGTGGGCAAGACAACAGTCAGCGGTTTAGTGTGGTTAGAAAATAAAGTGCAAGTCAGAAAGTGCTGAAAAATGTCATCGAAATGGGCCGATGTCTGTTCAGGGAAACTGCTAGAGTCAAGGTCAGCAGCTTGGACATTTCTTTTTTTTTTTTTTTTGAGACAGAGTTTTGCTGTTGTTACCCAGGCTGGAGTGCAATGGCACCATCTCGGCTCACCACAACCTCCGCCTTCTGGGTTCAAGCAATTCTCCTGCCTCAACCTCCCGAGTAGCTGGGATTACAGGCATGCACCATCATGCCCAGCTAATTTTTGTATTTTTAGTAGAGACGGGGTTTCACCATGTTGACCAGGATGGTCTCGATCTCTTGACCTCGTGATCCACCCGCCTCCGCCTCCCAAAGCGCTGGGATTACAGGCTTGAGCCACCACGCCTGGCCCAGCTTGGACATTTCTACAGAAAGACGTCACTGAACATTTTAACCAGGACTGGGGTGGGAGGTGTTGGATTTGGAGGCAGGGAGATCTGGTGAGATGTGACTGGGATCTGCTCTGGGTCAGTGGTAGTGAAGAGGGAGAGTCAGGCGTAGGTTTAGGAACCTTTGATTGGTAAAACTGGTAGGACTTGATTATTGATTAATTGTGGAGCACACTGGAGAGAGAGAGAGAGAAAGAGAGAGAGGGAGAGAGAGAGAGAGAGAGAGGGAGGGAGAGAGAAGTCAATAGCTTGAGTGGCCTCATTATGATGGAATCCCGTAGACAAAGCAAACACCAGGGAAGCAGTTTGGTGAGATGGGGGACATGAGGTGACACTTAGGTTTGAGATATGCTGAATCGGAGGTACTCGAGGGATGTTCAAACAGCTTTGATTTCGAATTACTTATTTTTACAATATAATGGCAAGATGTATGTTTTGGGCATTAGCATCTCCCTTCACTGAGCTCACTTGTATTCAGCAGTTAGCGTATTTCACCATGGTAGGTGCTAGGGGTGCCCCATCCAGCTTCCTTTTACCCCCAGCTGCTGTGAGGGCTGGCTGATGACAACTCACAGCCCCTCCTTCTCCTGGGAGCCATGATTCCCAAAGAGCAGTCTGGCCCAGACGTGCAAAAGCTCAGCTCCCCTGGCATCAAGGGGGCACTGCCTATGTGGTGCACTTTGGGGTTCCCGAACTTCCCAGAGGGATCAGCCTGAAGCTGGTCTCCAGCTGAGACCACACCTTGGCTTTCCTCACCCTCTGCTCTCTGGCCCCCTCACTCCCCTCCTCCTGAGAACACTCCCCCGGTGAATCACTTGCTCAAGAATTCTCCTGCTTCTTTAGAACCCCACCTGAGACACAGGAGAAATTGGGCCGTTGGAAATTGGGCCACAGGCAGTTCCAGGAATCCACAGATGTAAAGAGGTAGCTGAAGATGAATTTTATTCCTCTGGACAGAGCTGGTGGCGAAATGGTTGACAGTAGGGTTGCATTTATCCACAGTAGAAGGTCATTTGTGTTATTTTTATTAGTTTTTTTAAAATCACAATCCTAAATCTCTGGATCGAAAGCATTCATCGAACTTCCTGCTTAGGGACTGTTAAGGTTCCTGAGTTTGGGAGGAGTTCTTTTTTCCTAAATTCCCTGTTGCCCTTCCTTCTTGACTCTTCATATTTGAAACGATGTCACTGAAAGCAGGTGCTCTTTGGTGGTTGAGATGGACCCACCATCACCCCTAGACTGGATCCACGTTTTCCTTTGAACTCTTGTAAGTATCTTTTTCTTCTATGAAGTAGCAGTTATGGGCACTGCCCATGGAATTCCCCTATTTAGTCAAAGACTCAAGAACTGAGCATAATTCAGAGCTAACATGGCTTTCTTCTTTGCTATCTCATAGAAACTGCTTACAAAATATTTACTGAATGATAAAAATGAAAGATTAAATGAATGAATGATCAATATTGCCAAACCAAGCAAGTTCCATATAAATGCAAATTGGTTTTCACTTGTGCAATGTCCTTTTGCTGTATGTTTCTTTAACCTGTTTGCCTTATTGTCTCCAACTGGTGGCAAAGACTACACCTTCTATTTCCCTTTTATCCCTGCAATAGACTATAGAAATCATGTTTGATGGAATAACTAATTAGTCAGTCAGCATTTATTGAGCACAGACTATTTTAAGGGTATTTTAAAGATGGGAATTTAAAAACAAAGCACAGTTGTCTTTAAAGAGCTCATGATGGCCTGAATATACAATTTGTTCTTAAATTGAGTGACTTGTTAAATGTATAACTACATTTGGTTTAATATTTGTTCCTTTGTAAACCTTTCATAGAAATAAATTCACAAATAATTAAAACATTCTTTTGCAAACCATGTGACTTTATTTTGTCAGCAAATATGGCTGGTGTGCCAATCAGGCTCTGGCTGTA